TTTTGAGTTTTTAACTCAAAAACTCACTGCCCGAACAACCCCTTAGTTATTTGAAACCCCAATGAATACAATTACTCTTCCAAATCATAGTATTGTGTTTCTTTGTGCTTAATATATATATATATATATATATATATATATATATATATCTTACCTTTCTTTATAAAAGTTAAGCTCAAAATTCTAAGGTCATGTTTGATAGCATTGTTCTTTTAATTTGCAAAATATACTTGTGCAATTATACCATAAGGTTAAGGGAGCTTTGTACAGTAGGGTATCTCTATAATAGTGCGTCCGATCATTTGATATGATTAAAATCAAGATTAGAAAATGATGCAAAACTGACAAAGGAACCAAAGCAGAACCTTAATGTAAGTTTTTTTCCCCCTCATCCCTTACACATCAGTTGTTGCATATAGCTAGTTAAAACCTTGGGAAGAGGGAAGAGAGAGAGAGAAAGAGAGAGAGAGAGAGAGAGAGAGAGAGAGAGGGAAGAGAGAGAGAGAGAGAGAGAGAGAGAGAGAGAGAGAGAGAGAGAGAGAGAGAGAAACATGAGAAGACAAACTGAAGGGACCCTATAAGAGACGTGGACGATACAAGCAACGAATCGAAATATGTCCCTACATTAAACAAGTTGTACTCAATGGAAGAAAATGGCGTGTGATTTAGCCCACTCGACATGCTCTCATAGTCAACGAGCAAAGCCAAGTCTTGAGATATGTTAGATACCCATGAATATATTCAGAATCATCCATATATTAATCATGCAATTTTTGAACCCACGAACGTGGTGTTCCCTTAGATACCACCACTCGATGGGAAATTGGGGTTTTCCAAGTTATTTCCACGAGAAAATACATCTAATTGTTGATTTTGTATAAGGGTTTTTCTCCGGTGGCATCTCTCGATTGTTAGGGTCAGTTTTTAATTGTAAATTTTTTTAAAATCATATGAGATTAAAAAATATACAAAATAAATAATTTTTTTATACAAATTTAACGGCCGAGCATTTTTGGTATATTTTTTTAATGCATACCAGAGAAATTCCCTTTTTCTAATGGGAGTAATATTATCGGACCCTTTTCGTCCATGATAATTTTGGAATATTATGCTTGTCATTTTCATGAATTACCAAGGGGGTTGGACCCAATTTTCCTTAAGATTTGCAAACTTTGGTTTCCAAAATTCCACTTCTGCAAGGATTGTATGTGTGTGTTACATATGACTAGAGAAGTCTCTAATTGTCAAAATCATGTTTGATTGTATCATTCTTGTCTTGCATTGAACTCACCTATTTAAAAAGTATCATGGATTCAACTTGTTTTTTGCTTTTCTTTTATTGGTATGAATAGAAAAAATAAGAAGGCATAACTAAGGGTGACAAAACACCCTCATTAGGCATCTAATAATGTCAAGGCTTTTCTCCCTAGCAACCTTATTTTATTTTTGTTTTTGATTTTTTTTTTTTTGGAACTTCTTCACATTTCTAAAAAAACAAAGTGCTCATATTACATTGCGCGCGCACATATTGTGAGATTTAACAAGAAAATATAGATATATAATTTTTATACTTTTTTTTTCTCATGTATTACATAATTATCTTGTACTACACGAACGTTTGAGTATTTTTGTCATTCAAAGAATGGAGGGTCTATTTTTTTCAGAGCAGAAAAAAAAAAAGAAAAAGAAATACTCAGCGTTTATTGCTCGGTTTACGGGAATCAAAAGAATCATTTTCTTCCTTCAAAGAGGAAAAAGAAAAACTTAAACACTTACTTTTTTCCTTAAAAAAAGGATCATTTTCTCAAAAATAAAAAAGTGATCACTTCCTCTATTTAATTAGCATCCAATTCTGCCTAAAGGCCATATCAAATCATGCTCTTAGTACAAATTGAATCTTCTAAAGGGTAAGAGAGTATGATTTTCTAGTAAATATCTCACTATTACATATTTGACCACAAACATATAGGAGCGTCTTTGATACAAACAGAAGCTTTTCGTTTATATTATTGGCCAAAAACTGCTCTTCTATTGCATCTTCATTTAAATGTGTGAAACGAACAAAATCTATAGATAAGGACACATTATATAGTTATAATACCGTCCTCTTTTCCTTGCTTGCAATGGGGCATGATGAAAAGAAAATGCGCATCCAAACTTCCCTTTTCCATCATGCCCACATTGAATCCAAAACACTTTAATTTTCATGAGATACCATACTTGAAAATGCTTCATCAACGTTGCCCAAGTGGAAGAAGATTAAGAATATTTCGAACTGTGGGGCCCCTTCTTTCACACTTTGGATATCTAATTAACCAAATATGGCCAATTGCTCTCTCTTTTGATACAATTCTTCACTTTACAAGTTCCTTTGATTATTATTGAATACCAACTTTTTCCCTCTTATTGCTTTAAATCATTCCCAAAGTCCCACACTAGCCGAAGCCCCCCCCCAAAAAAAAAAAAAAAAAAAAAAAAAAAAGAGACCATGTTGTTCTAAAATTCATACAAAAGAAAGCTCATCATCACCACCTACCACTTCATGAAAGTTTCATAATTTAATGTTGATCTTAGATAATACGTGATTTTGTTAGAAGATTGGATAACACTAATTGATAAAGAAAATGGAAGTCCACCCAATATGTCATTTAAGAAAAATAGACTAGGCCTTTCTATATGGTCTGCCATATTTGATCTTTTGGTCCCTGTACATTCACTACTCCAATATCACATTAATTATATTGGCCAAAATGTCAAAACATCTTTTTTCATGATTTAGTTGCCTGTCAAATTACTTCCTTAATCATTTTTTGTTTGTTTTATCTCAATGCTAATAGAGAAAGGTTCTAAAATATATATATATTTTTTCTTGAATATAATAATTACCCAAAACCAATTTTATCCTTACCCCAAGAGTAAGGAGAGTGGTTATAGTTTTGAGCTATATAGAGATTAAGTTTTAAGTGAAGTCATAATCATCATACCATAAAAAGAAAATTCAATAATATTTATGGGGACAACAAGACCTCATGTAACTATATAAGTTGGGACCTATTTTTTTATCATGCCAGTTAAATCCAATTTGGAATTAATCCCATTAAGATTCATATGGAAGGCATCATAATTTCCCAACTTGGGAAAGTTCCGCCGTCAGCTGTATTAATATATAGTTATATAGCCTATAATAAAACATATAAAAATTTGACTCCAAATATAGTGGCTTTTAAAGCTAGCAACAATGATTAGGATATAGGAACAGTCCAAAATAGAACAAGGGCAGCTCCTTGTAACTTGTAAGTTAGACCAGTCAATCAAAGACTTTTATTTCCAACTTGGAGGAGCCTAAACCAAAAGGCAAAATCATGTTTCAAAATGTGGTCTTTGATTTAGGGGAATTTGTTTGAAGGCCCGAGGAGGCCAGAGCCGGCGTGAGCGGCGAGGCACATCATACACGAAATAGAAACACATTTTGTGCTAGCATAAGAAATAAGATTGATTCACCTGCCAAAATGAAAACAAAAAATGGCATTTCCTTGGTATGGTATGGTATGGTTTGAACCGTGATATTAAAACCTTATATATATATATACATTTTCACATCTTTGCAGGGCTTTATCATTTACATATTTATTTCATTATGATAATGATTTTGACCTATTTTGTCGTTTAGAAACACGCATTACCTTATGGTCCAAAGCTCCCATTTCTAGATACAAATCAAGCAAGAAGCACTTTGAAGTAAAAAATTCACATTAATGTTCTACCAAAAAAAAAATCACATTAATGAATATAGGGTACCACCACTTTAAAAGGTTGGTAGCTTCTAAGGACTGTAGCCGTCAAAAGAAGGGACCCCAACACGCAAAAGAAGGACAAGTGCCCTTGTTTTGAAGGACACCCACAGGCCACAGCATAGTCTGAGCCAAAAGAACCTCAAAACTTGCTTGATAAACATTCCCCCTATAATTCCCAAGTCTTGTCATTTATGATCATTTATAATAAGCAAAGATGCACAAATAAACTACACACACATTTCTGATTAATCTTCACAAAATCTATTGTGGGCAAAACCTTAAACAAGACAAAATGTTTTAAGTTTTTCCTTGGAGGGACTTGTGAAGATTTTCCTTTTTTTTTTGGGATAAAAAAGGTGAATCCTTTCACACAAGACCCCAAAACCCAATAATTATTCTCACAAACCCCAAAAAGTCCATGCAAGAAGAGGTGAAGAGAATTGAAGAGAAGCACATGTTTTTCTTTTTGTCATTATACCATGCCATGCCTTCCCCTCCAAACATTCTTTTCCCAGCCCTCTCAGCTTAAAAAAAAGGTAAAAATAAAATACAAATAAAAATACAAATACAAGTAACACAACGACTACAACACATAACATTCCCTTTATCTTTTTTCCTGCTTTATTTAATCTACTTTTACTTTGATGGTTTGGCTAGTCCAAAACGAGCAGATAGAGAAAGAGAGAAAGAGCAGAAAACATGAGAAAATAACATTAGTAGAGATCACCAAAGGCATTCTTCTCTTCACTTTGCTGACCGGGGCAGGCTTTGTTCAGCTGACTCAGTCGTTTTGTGCTGAGCAGTTAAAGCTAAACGACATGCCCGTTGCCCACATCATGTTTTGCTCTCTCATGTCTTGAGCTTTGAGTAAAATTTTTTTTTTCTTTTCTTTTTTTAATTCAAATAAAGCAACTCCTCTCTCTTTCTCTCGCGCTTTGTGCTGTTCAAAATCAATACTTTATTTCCATTTCCATTTTTCTCTCTCCTCTCTTACTTTGTTTCTGTTTATTGTTTTTGTGCTGTTTTTTTTGTTGCTGAGAACGAGGTCTTAAAAAAGAGAAAGAGAGAGAGAGAATGAGAAGAAGAAGAATTTGAAGGCCAAAGCCTCTCTCTCTCTCTCTCTCTTTTCTCTCTCTTCTTATATGTCTGCCGCATTGTCTTGTTCTATTTAGAATCTAATCAATCTCTCTTCCCACGCATTAAAGTGTTTCTCTCTCTTTCTGTTTCTCTCTCTTTCTAGTCATCTTTCGTGGCTTCATATTTTTCTGGTTTTGCGTATCTACTCGTACACTTCAACAAGAGCCTATTAGAGCTACAGAGAATCACAAGAACAGCAAACTCAGAAGAAACAAAGAAAACCCATTTCTCAGTTTTTGGAGCTTTGAACCAAGAAATTGGGAAAAGAGAGATTTTTATTTTTATTTTTTTGCTTTTCATGATATGAATATTGGAGGTCTATTCGGTTGTTTGATCGTCTGATAACAAACTCTTTGGCGGGTTTTGAGCAAAACCCAGTTGCCCAAAAATAGCAAAGATTTACTAGGAGTGGCTGTATATGAAGTAAAAGTGGAACAATGAGAGATGGGAGTTCCAAGAACAGCAAGGTTTTTTTTTTTCCTCTTATTTTCTTGTGTTGGAAGCCAAAATCTTTTTTACATGGGAAAATTTCCCAGTTTGTATTTATTTTTCTTCTAATGATTTGGATTTTTGGAAAATGTTAATTGGTTGTTTGTTGTTTGGTTTTAGCTCTCATGGTCAAAGAAAATGGTCAGAAAGTTGTTCAACATCAAGAGCAAGACTGAAGACTTTCAGGCAGATGATGTTTATGAAGGTATTTTTTTCATTAACTTATTCTTTTTTTTTTCCTGCCTTTATATTAGTGGTTAGTTTAATAATTTATCAAAATGTTGTAAGAAACAAGTTCATTTTTTTTCCTATGTCTTCACACTTCATCCTATTGGCTGAAGTGTGAAAATTCTGAACTCTACCCAAATTCTTGTCTCTTTTATCCCAAAATTCTGAGCATTTCCGTTCTAATTTACACTATGGATGATTCCAATTTTTTTTTTTTTAATTCTTTGGCTACTAATCAATCAATTAATCAATCAAGCTGTTATTCTTTCCTTTTCCTTCATGATTTATTTTGTCACAATAATTTTGCTTCTTCAGGAGGTGATGTTGAATACAGGACTAGTTTCTCAGAGAGAGAGCCCTGCACAATCAAAAAGAGCAAAACAGGTTTATAACTAGTAATCTGTTGTAAGAACCACAAAAATCTGACAAATAATGTCTCAAGGAAGGAATTAATATTACTTATTTCTAAATATCTTATGTTTGCTTATGTTCATTATTTGTTATGCACAGAGAAATTTAGCAAGAACGGTGAGCAGGGTCGCCGAGGTAGAATGAATCTCGAGCACCCTCGAATTTTCGATGTCCAAAACTATAGGTACTCTTTTCTGGATGTTCTTCTTGCTCATATGTCTTTGATCTTTTTAAATTGTTACTCACGTGTTTAATCTTTGCTTTGCTTTTTAATTTTTGGGATCAGCATTTTTGTTGCATCATGGAATGTGGCTGGAAGATCTCCACCAAGTAACTTAAATCTCGACGAATGGCTTCACGCCGCGCCTCCTGCAGACATTTATGTTCTTGGGTATGATTTTAGGCCAACTTTTCTGTACACATTACTCCGAGGATCACATGGTATGTAGGTGTTAATGTATGTTACTTCTCTCTTTCAGATTTCAGGAGATAGTCCCACTGAATGCTGGCAATGTTCTTGGTGCAGAAGACAACGGCCCTGCCAAGAAATGGCTGGCTCTCATTCGAAAGACGCTCAACAACCTTCCGGGGACAAGTGGTTGTAGCGGCTGCTATACACCATCTCCAATTCCACAGCCTGTTGTGGAATTGGATGCAGATTTTGAGGGATCAGCAAGGCGGAAGAACTCGTCTTTCTTTCACCGCCGATCTTTTCAAACAACTCACAGTTGGAGGATGGAAAATGATCCTTCAATCTCTCAGCCAAGACTTGATCGCCGGTTCAGTGTCTGCGATAGGGTGATCTTTGGCAACAGGCCGAGTGACTATGGTCACAGGCCGAGTGACTACGGTCACAGGCCGAGTGACTATGGTCATAGGCCGAGTGACTATGGTCACAGACCGAGTACTGATTATGGGCATAGACCAAGTGATTACAGCCACAGGCCAAGTGATTACAGTCACAGGCCAAGTGACTTTGATTCGAGTCACCGGTCGGGTCATAGGCCGAGCGACTATTCTAGGCCTAGTGACTACTCCAGATGGGGTTCTTCTGATGATGATAATGGACCTGGTGATTCACCAAGTACTGTGTTATTCTCACCTATGTCCTATTGCTACGGTGGATCTGCATCCAATGATGACGGATATCGAAAAAGAGGGCAATCAAGATATTGCTTGGTTGCAAGCAAGCAAATGGTTGGCATATTTCTCACCATTTGGGTCAGAAGTGAATTGAGGGATCATGTTAAAAACATGAAGGTATCTTGTGTTGGAAGAGGGTTAATGGGTTACCTTGGAAATAAGGTACTAAATAGCTAAGAAATAATTCTTTTAAGTTTCTACTCTTTTCATGTAATAGGTCCTGAAACTTAGTACTCTGCAATAACTAATTTAATATTTGTGTTCTGCTCTGTTTTGCAGGGATCCATTTCAGTCAGCATGTCTTTGCACCAAACCAGCTTTTGCTTTGTTTGTAGTCATTTAACTTCAGGACAGAAGGAGGGTGATGAACTAAGAAGGAACTCTGATGTCATGGAGATTCTTAGAAAGACAAGGTTTCCACGGGTTCATAACGCTGGTGATGAGAAGTCCCCGGAGACTATCCTTGAGCATGAGTAAGATCCTTGATCCTTAGCCCTCAATGAAATAGTACTTGTAGGACTTAGAGTGAAAAGATTCGCTCCTGTGATTATGGAGATCTACAACAAGCTTAAAGTATGTTCCTTTTTTGCATAAAATGGACTAAAATGATATGGAACCTTCATTAGATATGATATCTTTTAATTGAATCTGCTCTATGGGTTCATTTCATTATCAATTTAACTTTGTATAAAGACATGTTTTACATTTCCTAATTACATATTTTTTTCCCTTTCTAATCTAGTCGAGTTATTTGGCTCGGAGATTTGAACTATCGAATTGCCTCCTCTTATCGCACTGCAAAGGCCCTCGTTGAGATGCAAAATTGGCGGGCCTTGTTAGAGAAGGACCAGGCGTGTTTGTAATCCCTCAAAATGCTTCTCAATTTTCGTTTTACTTTGCTCTAATAAGCTCATTCTTAACCTTTCCATACCTTATTGATGGCTCTCTTGCAGTTACGGATAGAGCAGAGACGAGGCCGTGTTTTTGTGGGATGGAATGAGGGAAAGATTTACTTCCCACCAACGTACAAATATTCCACTAACTCAGATAGATATGCAGGGGATGACATGCACCCGAAAGAGAAACGTCGAACGCCAGCTTGGTAAGATTCTCTCTTACTATAAAAGTACAAATGAACAAACATGCCACAGTATAAAAAGAAAGAGATACATAGAAGGTGATGAGGAATTAAAAAGGTTTTTGTTCATGAAGGTGTGATCGAATTCTGTGGTATGGAGAAGGGCTTCACCAATTATCTTACGTTCGTGGCGAATCTAGATTTTCAGATCATAGGCCAGTTTATGGTCTGTTTTGGGCCGAGGTTGTCTCTAGCCATAGCCGATTGAAGAAAAGCATGAGTTATTCTAGTTCTAGGATTGAGGTGGAGGAGTTGCTACCATATTCACATGGATATACTGAACTTAGCTTTTTCTGAAATATGGTTGAACAATTTTGACTCACATCGTTACACATCCAGGTATGTTCTCTTTTAAGTTTGTATTATAATGTAAACTAGGAATGCTCTTTCCACTTATTTATTGTTTTTTATACAACACTCGTTGAAGAGTTTCCATGTGGTATTCCAAATCAAGTAGATTTGCTCACCTCTTGCAACCCATAAAAATTGCAGATTTTAGACTTTTCTTACTAAATAACCAAAGCAGAAGATATTTTTGCCTAGTTTTAACTAATTTAGCAAGTGGGCATTTCTAGAATCTGTGTGAAAACCTACCTCTAAAGACAAATATGTGGCTGGCATGGCATATAATATTCTGAAAAGTCTCTTGTATTTTTCACTTTCTGTTTATTAAAAAAAAAAATTGAAGGAGATTTCTTGCTTCTTCCGAGTTCTAACCTGGATTTTGGTCCCCATTTGCAGGCTGGGAATCACTTTGTAGAATTTTCATCCCCATACGGCGATGGAGACATTCCATTGCCCACAAACCGAAAAAGGTAAATTCTTCTTTTTTTTTCCCCCCTTTTCTTTTGCCTTTCTCGGTTCTGATGTTTGTCTTTGGTTTCTTTGTCTAACTCTTATCCTTTTTTGCTTTCTCTTGGGCAGGCACTAATTTTGTATTTTGGTCGGTTAACTGATCAGCTCACAAAAACAAAAAAAAAAAAAAGAAAAAAAAAAAGGTTCCATGAGATTTGTACATTTGATCAGCATTCAGCATCATCATAACTAGTTAGCTTCAAAGTTATCAGATTTAAGTACGGAGAATTATTTGGTAACCCATTTTACGGACAACTGCCTTTCTGACCATCTCAAACTGCCCTGCAAAATGATTAGGTACTTTTTTTTAAAAACTAATTATTATTATTATTATTATTATTATTATTGAATAATTCTCAGATAGGGTAAGGGAAAAAATAAATCTTGTTCAGTTTATTAATTTAAATTGAGATATAATTTTATGTGAAAATTTTTTATTATAACATAAAACGTTAAATGTGATTTTTCATGAAAGTTTTTAACTATAGTAAAATTAAAATTAAAAATTTAAGTTAGTGAAATGAACGAGACTAATGAAAATTTGTGCTGATATAGTAAAACTTATTAATAATTTAACCGTTCAAAATTGTACGATTGTTTTTACCCCCTCATATCCTACTAGGGAGTTTTTACTTGTTATCATTACTATTTTTTTGTATACTTTTTGTTTTTATTATGGTTAATTGGTAACACAAGTAGCTCATAAGCTTATGATTAAAACTTTTGTGTTGTCTTGCAGGATTAAACTTAATCCAACTAGGAACTGCCTTGTAGGGGAGATTGAGGATTTCTTTTTTTTTTTTTTTTTAAATTCAAGATTCTTTTATTTGTTCATGGAATATGTGTGACATGGCCAAACAAAGGAGAAAGATGGTCAAAATAATCATTTGTATACTCTCTTTTGTTTTTAATACAAAGCCAAAATTTGATGGATACTCAATTACTAAAGAAAATGAAATGCAAAAAAAAAAAAAAAACAAAAAAAAAAAAAGATAGAGAATCTGAACCCCCACTTACTCTCTCCAGTTGTTTCAAATGATTGTACTGAACAAAGGTCGTTTTCTTGATAAGCTCCCATCTTCTAATTACTCTCTCCAGTTTTTTTTTTTTTTTCTTTTTTTTTTCTTAAATACATTAATGAGGTGAATAACAAAACGTGAAAGCAAGAGACAGTTTTACTGGTTTGGCAGATAAAAGAAATTCAAAGGGGGAGAAGACATGATTTTGAGAGAGACTGGTCTTTCAGAGAGAATGGTACATCTCTCTGAATTTGTCTTTTGCTGTTTGCACTACAATTGTCTTTTTTTTTTTTTTTTTTTTTTTTTTTTTTTTAAGGCCCCCCCACCAAGGGATAGAAAACAACAGGAACAGACAGCAAATGGACAATACTCGTTAATGTTGGGTTTCTTCTGCGATTTTTGCGTTTTTGGTTTATGAAACCAACGCTAAGATAATACCGATCACTCCATGACTAATAACTTTAGACGTGAAAATAAAAGAGCAAGTGAAATTTTTAAACGTGAAATTTTTTCATTTTGATAATTATTTTAGAGAACGTTTAATTTATGGATTCAGAATTATGATTCAAAATCATTCTTAATTTACGTGTGTTTTTTTTATGAGAGAAAATATTATAATAAATAACGAATTATGATCAAAATCATAGTACGAATCTTTATTCTAAACACACCCTTAAACTCTTTTCTGGTTACATTTCTTTTTCGATCATTGGTTATCACCCAATAATTATAGAAATTAGAACATATTGTTACAATTTATAATTGACGACATGGCGTTTTGTGTAATTTGTTATAGCAAATTAAGCAACGGATTAGATGCCTTTTTTTTTTTTTTTTTTACATCGACAATAATTATGATCTATTCTCTTACTTTTTATTACAACTCCATTACAACTTTAATTAAAAAATTACATGAATTAAAATTATAAAATTAGAATTAATTTCGATTTAGGTGTAATTTTTATGATAAAAAATACTGTATCAAACTATGAATCATAATTTAAATCATAATTTGAATCATCCAACTAAACGTCTTTTTTGTTCCTTTAAAAAACTATACCCTTCTATATTTTATTATCAAATTAAAAAGACTAAAATATCCAGAGTCATGTCCAATTGGTTCTCTCTCTTCCCTCTCGTTCTTTCGCTCACTCCGTCATCTCCTCTCTCCCCTCTCTCTCTCTCTCTCTCTCTGTCTCTCTCTCTCTCGCCGCCCCTTCACCACTGTCGCCGTCGCAAGGGGAATCTTATCGTCTTCGTGAGTTACGTCTTGGAGATCGCTTGCAGATTAGCAGATCTCTCTCTCTCTCTTCCTCGTGATCTAATGGCCCCATTTACTTGTGGTGATTGACTCTCAGTTTCCTTCTCTTACCAACATTTTCTCGGCAACCAAACGCCTTTCTTCGATCGCCATATACGTTTCTTGGGCTGAAACATTTCCTAATCTTCCACTAGTTCTAAATCCTCCTCAAAGTTTCGCAATCAGAGAGTATGGTTCGATTCTCTGCAAGTTTTAGCGCTCGCGTTTTTCGCTTATACATAACCATTGCAAACGTGTTTTCTGCATTAGCTTTTAGCCTGTTTTGCATGGCGTTTTTCTGCATTGCAAGCTTATTAAGTGGCAAATTTGTTGCTCATTTTTGTTCCTGGTTAGTGTTGGGGTTAAATTTTCTAAATTTCGACTTAATTTTGTGGGTCCCTTTCCCTTCTAAGTTGCTTTGATAGTGTGCCAGTGATAAAAAATTTTGAATTTTGCTAAAAAAAATCATTTATGCCCCATAAAGGATGGTCTTATACACTTTTTTTTGGCATGTGTAGAGGGAGCATCTGTATTCTGTACAGCAGAGGATTTTTTGTTGGGGGGAAAGTTGTTTGATAATGTATATTTAGTTCGTTGATTTGAGTTTTTAATTTAAATTGGAATGTGATTTTGTGTGAGAATTTTTTACTGTAGTAAAAAAGTTAAAGTTAAATGTAACTGTTTCTGAGAGTTTTTTACTGTAACAAAACTTAAATTTTAAACTCGAATCAATTAAAATGAACGGGACTTTATTTTATTATTTCTCCTTTAATTCCATAAGGAGAATAGTGCTCTGAATGTAAAGAAAAAGAAAGAAAAAAAGGGAAATTGGTTACACTTACGATTTTGAATGTGTACTTTATCAGTTTGGTTGATAAACTTGGATTGCAGTTCTCTCTGGGGCTTAATCGACAATTAAAATGGTCGATGCAAAAAGGCGATAACCTGGTAACGTGTTTTTCCTTTGCATTTTGGCGACAGTGATGTGAATCTAACTATGTTGACGTCTCAGGAACAAGTTTTTAGAATTCATGTATCTGAAACTGAGAAACGTATGTTTTTATGCCTGTAAACATTTTGATGCTGAGTGAATCAGCTCTGTTGAGTTTTTTTTTTTCTTTTTAATGGTTTTGTTGATAACCAAATTGTTTTTGGGATGTGCATTCGGAGTAGGTAATATGTGAGCTTAGTGGAGTTATTCTTACTCGAGGACCCAAGCGTTGCAATTTTGTGGAGTGGAGAGGATACAAAGTTGTTTATAACAGGTAATACACGATTATGAGTATAGTCTTTATAAGGTTAATTTCAGCCTCGTTCAATTCGCCAATTTGAGCTGAGATGTGACTTTATATGAGAGCTTTTAACTGTAACAGAAAAAGTTAGATGTAAATTTTTATAAGAACTTTTAACTATAACAAAACTGAAATTGAAAACTCAAATCGGTAAAATAAATTAGGCTAAAGTTTGTGAGATTATGTCGTGATTCGACAGATACGTGAATGTCTTATGCAAATATGCTAGTTTGTATTTTTTGCATGTGCATTGATCAAGAGGATAAAGAGGTCCTTGAAATAATTCATTATTATGTTGAGATCTTGTACCGATACCTTGGTAGTGTGAGTGCATTAAACTTTATTGTTGTGAAAAATCGTAACGCAAGTATACGCTATCGCAATCAAGTAATATAATAGTGAATAAAAATATCGTCCCACGAGGATTGTTGTTTACTAATTACCGAAATTATATTAACCCTAATTTTATTTGAATACTTGAAAAGAGAGTTTATAAAATTAAGTAAAGTAAAACTAAAACAATTAAATAAATTAAACAATGCTAAGCAACAGATGAAAATTCAATAGATTAAGATTCTAGGGTTTCCGATTTCACCAAATTAATCATGTTTAAATTCTCATAATTCAAGCAAATTAACATTCAATCCTATACTGACAGCAATTTCTCTAAAACAATTATTATTCTTTCTCAAGCAACAATAATATTAATCCAACAAGCAAAATCTACATCTCCGTCAGACTTCTAAACCTGTTGAAAATCATTAAGTGCAAGAAATTCAAAACAACTGCACAAGCATCATAGATATCTCTATCCTATGAACAACTCATGGTATTTCAATTAAGAGCTTATTCAATTATCACCTCTCAGTCTCAAATCAAATACAAAATCATGTAATAGTTGGCCAAACAATCACAAGCATTAAGAATAAATTGAAATACTCAGCATATATGGATTAAACATCAATTACTTAAAAAGAAGATTGAGAATTCGAACATTCATAATCCGGCTACATCGTAGCCCTAGAAAAAGGAATTAGTTCATCTCTAAACAAAATAAATTCCTAAACAAAGTCTTAATCATTGGAAAGGAAAGAAAAGAACTAGTTTGGAGTTGAATTGAAGCGTAGCCATCTCCGGATTTGAGCCGTTCTTCTTCTCCGTAGCCAATTCTCCTTTTCTTCTCTTGAATCTTCTCTCAAAAGCCAGCCGTCATTCCACAGTCTAAAAGTTTTCTCTAATTGCCCTAGAATCATCTATTTATATGTTTCAGAGCATTAGGGTCAAAACGGGTAAGTTTTCGCGCGATTGGCCTTTAAAACGCGTAATTTCTCGCGTCGTAGCGCTGCGGCGTTGAGTTTCCAGCGCTGCGGCGCTACTGTGTCAAATGCATGGGCGCTGCGGCGCTGTAATGGGAGCCTAAGCGCTGCCCATTCTGCCCAGTGCACAAATTCTGCCGGATTTCGGCGCCACGGCGCTACAAACTGGCGCCAAAGCGCCACCAGTTCTGCCCAAATTGTTGATTCCGTATAACTCAGCGCCAAGGCGCTACAGATTGGCGCCTAAGCGCTATGATTGCTGTCTTTTTCCACCGAAATTTGTCCAAAACCTTCCAAATCATAGACTTCCACCTATCCTTCAAACAAAGAACGAAAACACACATAAAAACTAACAAAAA